GTCTCGGGCTCGTCTGAGCTCCTCAGCTCGGTTCACGGAGATGAGCAGACGTCAGTGCCGACGTAAACTGAAGAATATCGGCCCCACCGTTTTGTTTGCAGCCTTGAGGGTTACATCAGTCAAAGCTGGGGCTGTGCAGCTACGGCCGGCGAGGACAGATGCTCTGTCAAAGACTTTATTACCCCGCGGTCTCGCCCTCTGGCCTGCTGTGTGTTTTATGGGCCCTGTGATGACAGAGGGTGAGGTTCACGTGGAGGTTGGGCAAAGGAAGGAGGCAAATACAGCCGATGGTCAGGACGGTGGAGGGCTGGAAGACAGGAAGTAAAGCGAGGGTGGTTTGGAGTGCTGGTAGTGAGTGTGTTTGCAGAGTCGCCTGCAGCTGTTGGAGCCTCAGATGGGTCTCATGTGCAAACTGTAACCTCCACTCTTGTGGGTAAACTGGAACTAAATGAGGTTTGTGGAACTGGCTACCAGATGACGAGGCACGGAGGTTTGGTCCTGTTTAGTGTTGGAGTCGTTTAAAGTGCACAAGTCTGTTTCTGTGACGCTTTTCTGATCCTCTAATGTTCCTATATTTACTCATTCAACTGCACCTTCTTACCTGCAGCCTGGAGCTCACCTGTGTTGGCTGAGACCAGCTTAAGCTCATAGTTTTTTCAGCGGTCACGCTTACCCAGGTACAGGTGTAGCCTAAAATCGAACAAATCTAAAAACAAACACGCTGAGGCGTTCCCAAACCGGTCGAGAGACGTAATCTCTCCTCCCAGTAGAGCGTACCCAAAACACGTCATCCAGGAGGCATGCTGGGTGACACTGGACCACTTCATCTGCTTCCTTTTGATGTGGAGGAGCAGCAGCTCCATCAGTTAGATATGTATTAACAGGCAGCGTGTCGGTGGCTTAACAGGTTTGATTTTTATCCATCCAGGAGAATGGATCCCATCTTAGTCTTATTTTGAAAGTTCATTTGCCGCCACTCTTTCCTGACCGAGTCGCCGTCATTTGGTAAACTGAAAAGTTTAACCTGCCCAGTTTGCACTTCTACACTTTCCCAGGAGTCACACTGATTAATTAACTCCACCATCAGAGATGATCCCAGAGAGCTGCAGCAGGTGGAGAAACTGGTTCATCTGCTGGTGTTGCTGGAGCTTCAGCGTCTTCAGTTTAGAGATTAATGTCAGGCTGCAAACACGAGGGTATTCCTGTGGGTTTGTTGGGCATGTTGAGGCCTCAGCTTTAGAGTTTGGGATCCAGACGTGCTTCTACAGGCTCCTGGAGGTTGGGATGGATTTTGGGATCTCGCCCAGTGGTTTTAGGAAGGATCTCAGCAGAGCTCAGAACGCCTCACACACCGACTCCAGTGTCAAACAGGCGTGGGAACGTGTGGTCTCATTTACTGCTGTAATCTTTGGGGACTCGTGAGAGACGCGTTAATAATCAAATAGTCCAAATTAATCCGTCATCGGTTTTCCCTCCATACAACAAAGTGTCAGTAAAGTTTGTGTTCACTTGAAGTCGTCAGTACATTTCAGTGAAAGCGCTCCGGCTCTCTGTACTCGTGCAGCGTCATCGCTGAGCTTCGCGCACCGCGGCCTCATCCATCAGTTTAACGATCAGCTGATCCAAAATAAACGGAGGCTTGATTACTCGCTCAGAGACATCCGTCACCGTGCTGGCTGGAGAAGCTGACGGTGACAGAAACAGGAAGCGCTTTGTTTACAGTGTTGATGCTGCTAAACGGCACTCCTGAAAGAGACGCCGAAAGACGTCTTTCCTCACTGAACGTGGTGTAACCTGACAGGTTGGCGTGGATTTGCAGCTCAGGAGCCCGCCAACGAGTTAGATGGGAATGCATGTGCGCTAATAAGCAATGTCAGCTGTTTGCAGTTACGTAAGTAATACTTACTGCTGTGAGCATTTGTTGTATGTAAATCTACAGCCTGAGTGGACACAGTTTACTCTCTGTATCGCCTTTCATTGTGTCTCTATTGACAGAAATAAGCCACGAGTTTGTTTTTCTAACCCTAAAGATGGAGTCAGTAGTAAAACACGGAGGATTTACTGTTTGCTGTATTTGTGGAGTAAACATGTTAAACAGGTTTATTAAATTATTAAAAAACACGAGAGAATTGATGGATGAATAGACAAACTCACTCTTTGACCCTCGGCCTCAGCTATTTTTTATTTTCCATCCACAGACAATATGGCAGTATCCAATTAAATCCTCAGATTTCACAAACTAAATTAGATCTCAGGCTTCTTGGTCGGCCTGTTAGTGCAGTGACCTCACAGCAGCCATGTTATTGGTCACATGACGTCATTAAAATGCTCCAACAGCACAAACACGGTGCAGAGGTCCAGCTCAGGCGAAGCTAGCAGACAGCTAGCAGCTACAGCCGCCTGTGTCACCATCCACCTGTCAGTCAGAGAGGCCACGCCCCTAATGCGTGTTATTATGAAGGAGGAAAAGATCCACAGAGACCAGTTTCTGCTGTAAAGTTTGGACATGGGGGTCTACGGGGACTGACTCACTGCTGCCTCTGCTGGACGTTAGAGGAACTGCAGCTTTTAGAGCTTCATGTTTCTGCAAAGGAAAGCTGCAGATTTCTGTCAGAACCTGCAGCTTATACAGAACAAATAAAATGTTCACGTTGTCTTCCCAACAGTTTCACTAACATCTACACTGGATGGCCAGGAAGCGTTCGCGATGTCTTCTCCGGCGCTGATAATCGGCGTCTGTCTTGTGTCAGTGACGTAAAAGACGGATTTAATGCGACATGACCATCAAACAGCAGTCGCTTTCTAAAACATCGGATATGTATCGGATTCAGGACCACATACGAAAGTGACCCAGATCGGATTTGAAAATATCGGATTTGTGCCGTTCACACTGTCACACCATGATCGGATAGATGGGTAAAGATAAACAACTCCACACAGGGGTGGAGAGAAGCTGTAGCAGGCTGGTGAAAGGATGGAGCTGCAAGTCAGTGCAGGCTGCCGGTGAGCAGCTCTGACACGTTCCTGCACGGATGGAAACAGATCGATGTGCTCGTTCCTGTCAGCTGTACACACAAAGGTGCACTCCTCCTCCTCCTAACTCATCCAGGAGCAGAGTATAAATCAGCTGTGTGTGTGTGTGTGTGTGTGTGTGTGTGTGTGTGTGTGTGTGTGTGTGTGTGTGCGCGCAGGGTTTTTCCTGCATGGAGGAATGTTTGCACCCCCACCCAAAGAGGTTTTAGCCAGCTCCAAGTCCAAAGGAAAAGTTTCCAGCACCAAATAGTCCCAGGTGATATTTACCAAAAAAACCGAGCCCCTTATAATCCCGTGTGCCCTGTGTATGAATTCTGGTTGTGTTTACTGACCTCGAAACGTTTTTATGTGCACGGATGCTGCGTACGAGTTTGATGAGGGGTCGGATGGAGCCGAGCAGTGTGAGGTGCTGATCCCGGCTGCTGCTCCGGTCGGATCTTCTTTAAAAATTCACGAGTCCTCCTCACCGTCTCTGTCCTCGCTGCCCTGCAGCTGCTTCATCCCGGCGGTGTCTCATTACTGATGACTGACGTGGAATTTGGTTGGAGCCAGTTTAACTGTCGGGATGAGTCGATTCGCCGCTCAGCAGCACAAACACACTCAGTCACACCTCTGCTTTCCTAAGCTTTTGCACAGTGCTGGTCCGTCAGCTGTCTCCATGCTTGCCCTGAACCTTTCAGGGACCTTTCAGAGATTACTTGACAGACAGCTGAACTTTAACCTTGCAAACTGATGATTTATGGTTGTATGTGATAAGGAGACTCGTGTGTGAGATTTGTGCTCGTTTGTTTGGGGGGAGAGGGATGAGCTGCTTTAAATGTGCCCGAGGAGATCATTAGCTTTGTGTTTGTGCCTTTTAAATGTTTGAATGAATTTCTACATTTGTGCATTTTTACTCTGATTATTGTTCAGGGTCTTTTATTTTGGTGGTTTGGACACGAGCTGAACTCACGAATCTGCCGATTAATGAGTTTCTGGCCAGACTGATGGCACAGAGAGGATGAAGATTTTAAATGATTCATGGGTTCAATCATTTCTGTCAGCACTGCTGTTTGTTTCTGCACATCAGAGCTCTGGAACTTTAACCTGCATCCATGGAAACATTAACGCTTCCCACAGCCTGATGACGACACCCAGGAGTGAATGAACGTGATTGGATGAACCAGTAGAACATCATGTATACATCTTTGGCATGAATGCATGAACATTCAGTGACACTGTGAAACATTATGAAGGTACAACTTAATAAAGCTTCACCTGAGCTGGACCTCTGCACCGTGTTTGTGCTGTTGGAGCATTTTAATGACGTCATGTGACCAATAATATGGCTGCTGTGAGGTCACTGCACTAACACACCGTCCAAGGAGGCGGAGCTCCAGTTTTGGTGAAACTCTGACTTTAATTGGATGTTACTGAGTCTGTATGATGCTCCTGCTCAGACTGTGGATACCAAACAACACAGCATTAGCTGGGAGCTTGGCTGTGTGTGTGCGTGTGTGTGTGTGCGTGTGTGTGTGTGTGTGCACACTGCGTGTGTGTGTGCGGTGTGTGTGTGGTGTGTGTGTGTGTGTGTGTGTGCTGCGTGTGTGTGTGTGGTGTGTGTGTGGTGTGTGTGTGTGTGGTGGTGTGTGTGTGTGGTGTGTGTGTGTGGCGTGTGTGTGCGTGTGTGTGCGCGTGTGTCGCGCTGTGAATCGTGTGCTGCTGAGTTCACCGACTGTGGATCGTGTGTGCTGTGTGGTGTGTGTGCGTGTTTGTGTGTGTGAGTGTGTGTGGTGCGTGGCGCGTGCGTGTGTGTGCGGCTGGTGTGTGTGTGTGTGCGCGCGCACGTGTGTGTGTGGCCCGTGTGGTGTGCGCGCGCGTGTGTGTGTGGTGTGTGTGTGTCGTGTGTGTGTGTTTGTGTGTGCGCGCGCACGTGTGTGTGTGTGTGTGTGTGTGTGTGTGTGTGTGCAGGAGGTTTTCCTCTCGTTCACGTCTCGCGTTCAGCCCGTGCTCGGCGGCCTGCGTCCTCGCTCTCTCGTCTGTTTGATTTCCGTCTGCTTCTCTTTCTGCCGTTCGTCTTCCCGACCCTCCTCTTCCTCCTCTCGTTAGTCTTCCTCTCCCACACTTCGACCCAGATTCTGGTTTTTCCTGAGTGCACTGCTGGGTTTGCTGTTTGACTGGGAGGTGAGCTGGGGGATGAGATTTGGGACTGGAGGCGCTGGATGAGTGTCGGCGAGGGATTTAGCGATGCAGCTTATCGGGGGCAGAGATGGGAAACTGCAGCTTTCCTGCCTCGTTGCTCTTTGTTTATTTTGCAGTGTGGATGTTGGACTCGTGTTTAGCCGGCTGCTCATCTCTTTCATGGCTCATTTTAGGAGGATTGTTAGTGAAAGAGTCAAATCTGCTCAGTTTTCAGTCTTGTGTTTCTTGTGCTTGGACACAGTGTTTCACTGCTGCTGTGGACGATGGAGAGATCAATGAGCTCCTCTTTGTTCTCTTTGGCCTTTTTCTTCTTCCACAGAATCACACGGAGTTTAAAGTCACGCGTGTCATAGTTTGAAGTCCATGACGCTGGGAGGTGGAGGTTACTGCGCACATATCACGGTCCTGAGATCATGTTTGTGTTTGTAGTCAGTCGTGTCGTCCGCTCGGTGCAAACTTCATGTTCACGTTGCTGCGTTTGAGTCCCGTCCAAGACCGCGGGCTCCACTCCCCCTGTCCCGCCCTCTGACTCCCGCCGTGGCTGATTGGGCTGGTCCCTCAGTCTCTGCTCCAACCAGACTGCACCGTCAGTCACAGTCATTAACCGCGCACATCTGTAGTCCACTATGAGCCGTCTGCTGAACCGGATCAAGTCGGTGTTTCTGCTGTCGTCGGTGTACCTGGAGGGAGTCGTTTTGTTGTGTTGTGTAGCTGATGTCGCGTTTGAGGACAGCGCTTCGTGTTTGCACATCAGCAGTGAGACAAGCGTGGCAGAGTCCAGCCCGCTGTGGTCATCTGTGAAATGGCAGACACTCGGCGCTGAGGGAGGACGAGGAGCCCTCAGGTCGCAGCAGAGCTCCGCCTCGACGCGCCCTCCGGGTTAAACCGTGTCAGACTCGGGTTCTAGGTCCGCTGTCAGGACTGACATGGTTTCACTGAAGCCTTCAAACACTCAGGATGGAAGAGGATTCATTTATGTTTCGAGAGAAGTTGAACGTCATGTTTTAATTAAGTGGTAATTTAAGTATAACAAACACAGTGTGAGCTGAGTGAAACGAGTGAAGTCAGAGTTTTATAGATGAAAGGAAAGAGGAGCCAAATAATCTCATACCTCACTTATCTTGTTCCAATAATCAGCCAAAGCCAGAATTCCAGTTGATTAATCGCACAGCCTCCGGCTGAAGGGCGAATGAAGCAAAAGGACGAAGAGCGATGAAGAACTCTTCAAGTCTTAGTTCTGATCTGTGACTCACAACATCATCTCAGACATTTTATTTCTGCGTTATTGTGAGAAACAGCCGTGTGCTTTTCATCGTCGTTTTTTTAGCGCTCGGCTGTAAAAGGCTGGTGACAGAGGTCGTCTCCTGAAATGTTCTCAGTGACCTCGGCCTCAGCTGCTTCTGCTTTTCTCTCATCACTTTAACAGTTCGTCCTTTTTCTTTGTCTGTTACTGAAGGACGAGGTCAGAGGTCAAGTTTTCTGAAAATCGCGTGAACACAAAGAGGAACGTCACCCAAGTCGTTTGATCGATGCTGTGCTACCTGCAGCCCGTCCGTGTTTCTGATTGGTCGGATGCTGAAAACTCCGCCTCTTGCGTGTGAACACCCTCATGGTCTCACTGGGAAATCTTGAGTTTGTGCTACCCGCAGTGCACGGTTTCGGGAAAGCAACAAATGCGTGCAGGTCGACAGTGATGTCACCACGCGCACGTAGAATGCTGATTGGTTTAAAAGCTGACTTGGACAGGAAGAGGAGCACGAGCGGCGTCATTAACCTGCAGGAGGAGGGCACGGCAGTTTTCAGCGTCCTGTCCTCTCAGGAGTTCAACCAAAGCACAACAGCAAACATGTTTGTGACACTGCCCCCTGCTGACAGCGCATGACAGACCATGTGACCCTGTAGCCTGAGTCATGATGTCAGAGTGGGTGGAGCCAAATAAGGGAAGGATGTCGTGGACATGTTGAATCTGCCGGAGCGAGCTGCCGTCTTTAATGTGGCTGTTCAGACACCATGAGGTTTCCAGCCCAGCTGGTTATTTATACACTAACAACACTCGTGCACGTGATTAACTTCCTGGGCTGATGGCGTGCACTGCCTGAAAGCCGTCAGTTTACCTTTGGAGGTCCAACATGTTACCTGTGCAAACGGGGCAACAGAGGCAAAAGCAGAGGGTGTGTTAGTGGTTTTACCCTCCGCTGAGCCCCCAGCTGCTGAAGCTAAACCTGCTTCATTTCCTCTCCTGCTCTGCTGCCTCGCTGAGACTTGTTCCCACAGTCCCACAGCTCCTCGGAAACTTCCTCTGGAGCGGGGAGGGCGGCGGAGGCGGGGGCTGAGCGAGGGGGCAGGAAGGACCGGAGCTTTTCTTGGCCCGGCGTCTGAGACCAGCTTCACCACAGCCAGCTTTTCATAACCCAAGCTGGCACTGACAGCCGAGATAACGTTCAGCCGTTACAGCACGAATGTGTTTCATTTAGACCCTTCAAGAAAAATACTGACACACATCGAATCCGAGCGATTATTGGAACGCCAGCAGGAAACGATCAGAGTCCACCAGGTATCCAAGTAACGCCTCGCTCCACCTTTACTGCGCCGGGCTCACAGGAAAACTAGAGCCAGCAGAGACTTTGATTGGGAGCTTTGAAAGGCTGTGAGTGGACGACCATCACGGCGGTGGTCCGGGCCGCCCTGATGGTCGTCCCCGTCTGTGTTTGTTTGTTTTCTTTATTTCTTTATTTTTATGGTTTTTTTTATTTGTTTTATTGGTTTTCTTATTTATACAACATGTACAACAATACAAGTTAATCACAGTGGGGGGAAACATAAAACAAACAAACAAAACAAAAATAAAACAAACGATTTTTATGGTTTTTAATACTTCTTATGTTATTAAATTTGTATTTTTAGGTTTATATTATGTTTTTGTTTTGTCTCTTTCTTATAGCCTCTCTTTCTGTGTTTCTGTCTCCAGGGTGAGGACGATGCTCTCCTGATTCTCGGCGTCCTCGTCCACCCCGTCGCCTCCACCATGAACCACACTCCCAGCCCCCACCTGTCCGACGGCGGCAAGCAGGCCGGCGGCGGCCTGCTGTGCAGCTTGGGTCTGGGATCCGACCGGGGCGTCCGCTCCCCGGACAGCCTCACCCACACCCCCAGCCCCACGGGAGGAACGCCCAGCTCCAGCCCCCCGCTGCTGCTGTCGCCCGGCCTGGGGGGCCTCGGGCTCGGCTCCCTCGGGGCCATGGGCGAGGCAGCCGGAGCCGACTGGGAGAGCAGGGAGGAGCTGAGGCTCAGGGAGCTGGAGGAGGCTCGGGCCAGGGCCGCCCAGATGGAGAAGACCATGAGGTGGTGGTCGGACTGCACCGCCAACTGGAGGGAGAAGTGGAGCAAGGTGGGAGAAATGTAGCTCAGTGGCACAGAGCAGGGTGGAGACCGGGCTGGGTGGGGCTCTAGGTGGGGATGTGGTTCAGTATCTGAAAGAAAGGCTCAGCTATGGAGCTACAGATGAGCAGAAATAACATTTCCATGATATCGATCCACTGTGAGCCTGTACGGAGAAATAATATTATTAATAATAATGTGATACAGACGCTGAGGTGCTTTAGATGATGTCCTATAAAGAGCTTTGACAACCCGCCTGCTCAGTCAGTCGTCGTCTTTGTTTCCAGGTTCGTGCGGAGCGTAACCGAGCGCGCGACGAGGTCCGTCAGCTCAGGCAGCGGCTGGACACCCTCACCAAGGAGCTGACCGGCATCCGGCGCGAGCGGCAGGAGCTCGCCTCGGAGAACGAGACGCTACGGCAGGAGACGCTGCGCCTCCGCGGCGACCACGCAGCCCCGCCTCTGTCCGCCACGTCCCCTTCCTCCTCACCCGCGCACCCCCACGGCGCTTCCTCGTCATCCTCGCCATCCATCCCCCCTTCCTCCCCGGCGTCATCCTCCTCTTCCTCTCAGGTCCACGGCGACGTGAAGCTGGACAGGGCGGCAGAGGGACCGCCGGGATCTCCAGAACCAGAACCGGTGAGGGACGTGGACTTGGACAGGCAGAAGACGGGTCAGAAGGTGAGCGTGCTCTCAGCTGGCGTTCTTCTTCCTGGTTTTGGTTTCAGATTGAATTTCTTCCACACGAGGTCCTGACCTTTAACCTCTGCAAACTTTGGTTTTACCTTTGTGCATTTAAATGAAACATCTGCAGGATGCAGCTCTGACAAACTCGGGGCTCATGCGACCTGAAACAAATGATGCAATCATTAGACTGATCGGGGGGGGGGAGCATTTTAAGGTTGGTGCTTGGTGCACATGAAGGATCTGATGATGGTTCATCCATGGACATCAGTGAGTCCCGACCCAGCAGGTAGCAACGTAAAAAATAAGTAAACAAATAAAAGTACGTACAAAAGAAATGAAGTCTGAGTGGGTCTGAACAGGATTCAGCTGAGTTTAGTAAAACGGTGACTGAAAGTTAAACCTGAGACCAACGTTCAGCTGTTGGAGAGATGAATGAGTGAAGGTGGTTTAACGCCCGCCTCCTTCACATCGGTGCACTCGCATCCTCGGCTGCTACACGTGATCCGTGAATGTAGGCCACTCGGGCTGCTGTCTCCACCATGATAAAATACACCCGTTATAGCACCAGAGGTGTGTGTGTGTGTGTGTGTGTGTGTGTGTGTGTCCTATTTAGGAGGTACAGCTACCCTCTGCCTGTGCACGTGAACACGAATCACGCCGTGTCTCCAGAGGACGCTGTCTGCCGTCTCTGCCGTCGCTCCCATGAGGACAAACATGATTCAGCCTTTCATTGACTCTGTGGAGCTGCTTTGTTTCTGGAGGCCGATGTAACGCTCAGGCTTTATTCTGCCCAATAAAAACAGAAGAATGAAAACGCGACCGCAACAAAAACTGTAATGGGCTAAAAACGAGTCAGCCACACGTGCAACAGCATCAACAGCTGCTGCGCTGCAGGACTGCAGCTAACGCTGTTTATTGCACCATGAAAACACCATGACTGTGTTCTGTAGTTCACGTTATTGTAAAATTACTTCTGTGGCACTGAAAGCGCTCTCTCCAGGCTCCCGGGGATCGTTCGATGGTCAGGGTGTATTCCCGTCTTTCCCAAAACATTCCCTTTGGGAATTTCTCAGCATGATTTCCTGTTTCAGTTGATTCCTCGGCCTGGAATCGACTGGAGTGGTCTCGCGAGAGTTTTGCATCCATTGGCTGTGAGTTCTTACACTGAAATCCAGGAGCAGAGGAAACAGAAGCTGTCTGTCTGTGCTGGTGCCCCCCGAATGTAGTGTTTACGTGGAATACAGACTGGAGGGTGACTCAGGAACCTCGACACACCGTCTGTCCCGGGGGATCCTGAGCTGCTTCCAGGGAAGGTTAGAGTAAACATATCCTCAGTGAGTTCTACCCTGAGGACTCCTCTCAGCTGGGAATACCTGCAAAACCTCCAGAAATCCTGATCAGATGCCAGAACAACCTCACCTGGCTCCTTTTGGCACTTGCTCGTCACATCAGGCACCAAACAGAGGGATCGGTTAAGTCTCCATCACTCTGACCTCAGCGGACCCTCGGGTCCTCAGGGATGCTGAAAGTGCAACACTGGCTTTAAAGATGGTACCTGGAAGTGCTGCTTCATGCTGACGTGAACCAGTCTCCTCGGGAATATAAGGCGTCGTTCTTTGGAGGCTGGTGAGGACACTTCCTGCTGGGCAGAGGCTGCAGGGTAGACCGGGATCAGTCAGAGACTCCTGGGTGTACGTCTCCTCCTGGCCTGGGATCACCTCGAGATCCCCGACAGGCTGGATGTGTGGACCAGCCTGTGAGCCTCTCTCGGGTCAAAAATGGGTGGATGTCCGTTATCATTGAGAGAGAGCGCCATCACACTGTATGATTTAGAGACGGCTTCGTCCAGTGCCACAAGTCTCTTTGGCTTTCGGTTGAGTTCTGAAAGTGCTGCTCGGTTTTATCCGTGACCTGCACCTGTAGTATCAGAGGTGATGAATCATGTGACTAAAATAGGCCCGACACATCCTCTCAGCAGCTGGGGGACGTTCCCCTGCGGTCACGTTTAAATCATTCTGCTTCTCGTTTTATTCTCGACAGCAACTCTCTGCCGTGGGCAAGGGCCCACTTCCACTGGAGACAGCGGCGACCTTCAGTCTGCACTAACATCTGATTGGCTGCTTCAGTAGAAAGTTCTGGTGTCGGGTCTTTAGTTTTTATGTGTGAGAGTCATCAAACCCAGGGACAGGAAGGGAATTTTACTCATGAGCTTCAGCGCAGGCGGAGGTCGATGCGGTGCTTCACCTGCACCCTGCCGTCCAGCTTTCTACTGTGAAATCTGGCGGTGCGTGGAAAGCGGCAGACCTGAACGAACTGCAGCGTTACAGAACCCGAAACGATGAGCGGGACAGATCTGGCCTGCAGCGTGAAACACGCCGGGGATGTTTCTGGCCGCTTTGGCCTCCGAGCGATCATCAGAGCGTCGTTAAAGCGCCGCAGCCTTCCCGAGCGTTGTTGCATCCATCCGTGCAGGTTTGAGTTCATTAAACTTGAATCTGAGCTGACGTGAAAAAACCGAAGGCTGCAATCAAACGCAGGATTTCTGCAGTTTGTCTGCTGTTTGCAGCGGCGGTGGGTCCCTGTGTTTCTCCGCACACATGTTTGGGCTGCAGGGCTGCATGTAAACCGTGATTATGTGTCTGTCAACAGGCAGCAGAGGTGGTCTTGGAACGGTGGCTCGCTGCTGCTCTCACACAGCTCAGCCTCATTTCCTGTCTCCTTCCATTGTTCTCCTCTTTGAGTGCTTCCACATGTCAGGCTTTGTCTCACCCACAGCGGCGCAGAGGGGCCCTCTGTTGGCCGTCGCCTGTAATGGCAGCGTGGCAGCTCTGTTTTCCACGTGTTGGGACAGAGCGTGCTCCGTGACCTTGTGTCGCTTTTCCTCACGCGTGAGTCTGGACGACGCAGTCCTGTTGGTGTTACTGCGTCGTCCACACTGGAGGGTTTGCTGTCATCCTACAATGATCCAAACTGGAGCAGTGAAAACAGTGACATTTGACTGAGTCGTGATCTTTATGCTTTCAGTCAGAAGAGCAGTGGTAGGGCTGGGCGATACAACCCAAAATTCATATCTGGATATTCTTTAGCTGGATGGTGATATACGATATAGATCTCAATATTTTTTTAAAGCCATAAAGTAAGAACAAAAAGAGAGTTCTTAGTCACACTGTCCCAGATCTCACACGGGCACCTTTATTAACATACAGCGCAGATGTACTCAGAAATAAATTATCAGCATTTATTAAATAATAATGCTCCATAAATAAAATAAAACAATGTTGTTTTTGTGCATAACGAAAAGCTCATAGTTGTGAAGTCAAAATGTAAACTAACAGATGCTGAGCATAAACAAGCATCTGTGGCCCTTATACACACAGTACGGTGATATTACGCTGAAGCACAGTACGTATCAGTCCGCCAGGCTCCTCGGTAGCTGTAATGCTCCAACAATCCATCAAGCGCTGCAGCTTCGTAGCTCAGCAAAGTCGAACTAAAACATTTGTTGCTGAGCCTGTGCAGCACATAAACGCGGTTCGAGGTCAGTAAACACAACCAGAATTCATACATACGGCACACTGTCGATTTTTGAGAAAATCAAAGGATTTTAGGCGTCAACGCGTTAGCCCGGTTAGCATGTTAGCCCGGTTAGCATGTTAGCCCGGTTAGCTCGTTAGCCCGGTTAGCGTGTTAGCCCGGTTAGCTCGTTAACGCGTTAACGCCGTCCAGCCCCACGCAAGGGGCGATCCGCGGTAACTTGTTAACGGAGATTTGCCCCATTAATGCAGTTATGGTGTTAACGTGACTTTAACGAGATTACCGCTACCAGCACTAAAACAGTAATCTCCAAATGTTGTCTTGTTGTCGAGCAGCTCCTCTTTGATAGCTGCCGTGTCCACTTCATTGTGGCCACTTGTCACTACCCGATCCATACCGGAAACCCGATCGGTACCCCGCATGCGCGAAAGGTCTCTACTTCCGGTCGTAGCGTTTTACGATAGTTATGGGTCAGAGTATCTGTTAAGATGTTAAGAATAACAAGTATATCTTAAAATGTTTGCAATAATGAAGCATTTCAGTACAATGTAGACAAAAACGAAAAATAAAAAGAAAGTTACGGATCAGGACTCTCCGATCCTTACTGCGCATGTGTAAAGTCTGACCGTACAAATCGGGTCTACCCGATCCGTACCGCGCATGTGCAGATGTTTTCTTCTTCTTCTGTTCGTTTAATGGCAGTTTACTCCCCAGTGTACGAGGATACCGCCACCTGCTGACCGAGCGAATAAACCCTATTATAAACTGAATTATCGTCATTACAAACGTGTGTTAAATCTGATTTAGCGATAGTCGAGTGTGTTTATGCTTGTCTGTGAGGAGAGGATTGTTGGAATAGTGATGATGATGTGCGCTATCACTGTCAATTGTCAGTAAACACTTCATCTGGCTGATGAATCTACACGTGAGATATTACAAAGTCTGCATTATTAACTCTGTAATTAGGCGCCATTCTTCTTATTTTACGGCGCTGTTGCTCAATCGGGGGACGCTCTCTGTTGAGGAGAAAAGCATGAATTTCTTTGTATACGGATTATCCATTGTTTAAATGTCCCGGGCAGTCGAAAAGGAGGCAGAGCTGTTGAGAAATGCTAGGAGCTAACTGGGCGCTAACCGTATCATTCAAATATATTGAATGTCGCAATGTTGGCAAAGACAGGAAGTGACGTAAGATTTGCGCATGCGGGGTACCGATCGGGTTTCCGGTACCGATCGGGTAGTGACGCCACTACGTGACTGTAGCCCCGGGTTACCCGCTGAGGGAGGCGGGGCAGGAAGGTAACACCTGCTAAAAGTTTTCACTTCCTGTTTCTCAACTTGCTACAACAAACCTGCTCAGTCAGAGGGAAGCGTTCCCACAGGCGCGAGTGAAGCTCTGACGGTTGATTCTGCAGTTTGACCCTCTGTTTGCTACAGAAGCTGCACATGTCAGCGACAGGTGTTCTTACTGCAGTACACGTGTTGCTGTCTCAGCAGCTCGTGCATAAGCTAAATAAGGTGAAGGCTGTTTTCTTTTTTCAATTTCTTCTATAGGTTATTATGGTCGCATGAATATTTGTGACGCTGATAATCGTGTTGTGAAAACCTGATGTTGTGACGATATTGTGACGCCTCAGACTGAACTTCCTTTGGACGCTTGATCAATAAAACAAAGCATGAAAGTTTTTATCTGCTGAAGTAAAATCATAACCTGTGATTGGACGTGACAGCAGGACATTGATAAATCAGGTTCCCTGCTCTCTTCAGAGCCGGCACCTCCCGGTTTAAACTGTCTATCACTGTGATCGATATATCGATTGATCAATCGATTGCGCTTACATTTACTTCAGTAAATCTCAGCTGCTTTAGTTGATCTCCGAACACCTGCGATGGTCTCAGCTTTGATGCCAGGATGTCCTTACTTTTGAGGGAGCACTTGAAGGCAGCGTGCTGGATGTCTTAGAAAGGAGCAGCTCTGGGTCGTGCGGGAGGCAAGTGATTGTTCTGTGGAGGAAATAAGGACGAGGTCTTTGCTGTCTGCCTGCCAGAGGGGACAGATTTACTGCGTGCTGCAGGACGAGCGCTACGCTTAGTTTTATTTCTGTTAAGGTCATTAAAAACACGCAACGTGAAAATGATGTGAGAGTTAGCTGGCAGCAACCTCAGAAATTCCAGTTGGGTGGGTCCAGATTTGGTGCTTTTTTTTCATGTTTTTTCCATCATAACTTCATGAGGAAACATCCACATGTTCAGGGCTGAAAAACTCATTTGAGCTAAAAGTCAAAGTTTACAGCAGGTTGCAGAAACTGTTCCACATGTTTCAAGTCTTTGATCTCTGAGTAAAACACAGCATGTCTGTCACATCGTCCCTCCCTCTGTCTTTACCTGCCAGCGTGCGTCCGTCTCTCCCACCTGTGTGCGGTTTAGCCTTCATGTCACCGTCTGACCTCCCGGTCTCTTTGTCTCCTTCTCCATCAGGACCTGGAGCTGCTTGATTCAGTGCTGCGCTCCCGAGCTCCGGGCGCTGACGCTCAGGAGGCCTGGGATGGCCGCGGCGGCGTCAACCCGGCCGGCTCGCGCCGGCAAGAGCGCAGCCGACAGCTGTGGGAGGACGCGGGCACAGCGGAGGAGGACTCGAGCAAACTGAACGCTCTGCAGCTTCGCCTGGACGAGTCCCAGAAAGTCCTGCTGAAGGAGAGAGAGTAAGAGAAGCGGGAAAAACACGACTTCTGGTTCTGTCAGCAGGGACAGCCCGAGGTCGCACCATCAGAGAAACATAATCTAGTCATAAATCAGCATTTCACCATAGAAATCCTTCTTGTCTGTAATGTTTTTTATCGATCGCGCCCAGAGATGTGAAACTCGTTTTACGAGTTATGTTATCGTTTCCACACCATCAGAAATCTGTAAAGACAGAAAGCTGTCGGCTCGACTCTGAAACGGTAAGAACGTGAAGGTCACAGAGAAAGCACAAGAAAGCAAACAAACCACGAACACACGACAGATTGTACAGAAACAGGAAGTCTTCTGCCATTACATTTATTTTCTGTTATTTTATCACTCTGTTCTAGCACAAACGGGTGTGGCGGGGAGTGTGGCGTGATTCATTCGTGCTGTCTGTTTCCCTGCAGAGACAAGCTGGCTCTGAGTAAGAGCATCGAGAGACTCGAGGCTGAGCTCAGTCAGTGGAAACTGAAGTACGAGGAGCTGAGCAAGAGCAAGCAGGAGGCTCTCAAACAGGTGAGGCACAACACAGGTCACCTGAGCACAGCGGACGCTGCTTCGCGGGACGGTCTGTCTTCTTTAAACGTGCGCTCTGACTGTTTTTCTGCTAACAGACGAGCGCTCGTGTCTCTGAGCTCCGTGGTTCATCGATCACTGACCTGCTGTCGCACAACAAGAAGACAAAGACAGAGCAAAGCAGCCGAACCGAAAGAAAGCAGAAGGAGCAAACGTGACAAATACATCAAAAGTGCAACGAAGGAAGCCGGAGTGCGTGATTCTCAGGGACTTCCTGTTAGACACGCGCTCGACTTACAGCTTGAATTTCATAGAAAATGTTCCTCACTTCAGATTTTCACACAGTTTGGTCCACGTGACGCTCGCAGACAGTCCACAAATAATTAGCGTTCATAGCATTTAGTCAGCAAACGAGCTGAATGTGAGAGCTGCGGACGGCGTTTGAATTTCATTTCTAACTCCAGTGATCACGACAAAAGGACGATGAACACAGGTCGTGATTGTTTCAGCTCATTAAACTCAGTGTGCAGCAGCTGCACAGCATCATGCGTCTGTGACGTGTTCACTTTGAATTTTCTGTGTTTACTTCTTTATACATCAGTTACTGTCAAACAGCAACTGATGCAACAGGACAGGCGCAGCTAACGTGCACAGCTGACCTTCAATTCAGCAATAACAACAACAACAGCAGCTGTTACAAATAAATAGGAACATGTAAGAAGAGCAGGAGGTCTTAAACATTTCAGTGATCACAGTTTTGCTTTTGAGTGAACATTTTCAGGTCTTTGAATGTTTTTATTTCTGGTGTTCAAACCTGTGGCCTCTGCTGATCGCGCAGTGATCGTCAGTCATCACGAGTCATAAACTTTCCAAAAAGCCCTTAAAATGACTTTACTAAGAAGTCTGATCGCTTCAAATGTCCCGGCAGGTCTTCAGCTGCAGGAGGCCTGCTGTGCTCAGCAGCGTCCAAATCATAAAGCCGAGTGTGACGATCTCTGTCTTTGTCGAACCACTAGGGGGCAGCACCGCTCCGCAGACTGCAGGTCTGATGAACATGAGTTAGATAAAAGCAGCAAAGTGGGGGTGGGGGGGCAGAAGATGTGAGAGATGTGTAGATGATGATGAAGGTGACGGAGTTCGTAGATAAGCGTGTTAGAAGATGCAGATGAAAGCGGGATCGCGCTGCAGGTTGGAGGAGGCGGATGAGACGAGAGGCAGAGATAAGGAGATATGACGGGGGGGTCACGCTTATCTCCACGCATGTTGTTTCAGATCCTCCAACATCACAGGAGGCGTCTCACAGTGTCTGCTTTAAAGAAACAGCCGCCTCCCCCGAAAAACGTCCAGATAACATTAAATGTCAGGCGGCTTAAACGTGGATTTATTTCTAACATCAGCCTGAACGATGCCGGGAAAGCCTGAGAGTCACTGAAAGATTAAATGTTCAATGTCTTCATCCTGCAGCTGAACCTGCTGAAGGAGATGCACCAGGACGAGCTGGGACGCATCTCCGAGGACTTGGAGGACGAACTGGGAGCTCGAACCAGCATGGACAAGAAGCTGGCCGAACTACGAGCTGAGGTGAGGGACCTGACAGCAGCGCGCGGGAATCACGACCCCGAGAAAAGCCGTGGGAGACGTGAACGGACGTCGCTAACATTTATAAACAATTTCATACAGAATCAGATGAAAAATGTCAGACTGCTAAAAACAGTCTGTGAGTTTGTGGGTGCAGAAACACTCAGGGAGGGGCGGCACCCCGAGACAGACATGAATAATCACTAATGATTACATGCAGATGGATAAACACACAGTGAGTGAAGCACCCAGTGCATCATGGGAATCCCCCAGCAGCCTATAGCAGTGTAGCTTCAGAACAGCTGTTTATGTTATTTTAAGGCTAAAGTGGGCATTATTAGGGGTGTGGCCTCTTTGACTGACAGCTGGATGTTTGGGCCGCCGTACAGTCAATCCTGTCTCCGCCAGCGTTTGCTGTGAAATCTGAGGCGTGTCGTGTGTTTCCTACAGATGGAGCGGCTGCAGGTGGAGAACGCCGCAGAGTGGGGGCGTAGAGAGCGCCTGGAGACCGAGAAGCTGGGCCTGGAGAGGGACAACAAGAAACTGCGAGCTCAGGTTGAAGACCTGGAGGAGCAATTAGCCAAGCAGCGCCGGCAGGCCGCCTCCGCGCTCGACAGCGACCTGAAGGCCATCCAGACCGAGCTGTTCGAGAGGAACAAGGTGGGCGGGGCTTTCTGCGTGCTTACTTCCCTCTCTTCTTTCCTTTTCCTCGCGTGTTCCTCCACGGTCTCATCCCTCACGCTGCACAGCTGTCAGGTTTTTTTGCTCCTTCATTTCACGACACCGTGGAAATCCCTCCACAGATGTAGAGACGGGCGGCGTTCGGTCCGAGGCGGGCATCGGCCGGCTGAATAACGAGGAAATCACAGAAGTAAACCAAGTCTAATCAAAACCTCGTGACAGTCTGAGCTCCTGCTGAAGGGGGGAGACGCCGCCGGGTCACGGGGTGTCCATGTCGTCATGGTTACATGCAGGTTAACTGACATCCAATAATACAGATGGAGAAACTTGTACATGGGCAGAGACGGTGAAAGGTGAGGGGTCTCGAGCTGAGACGAGCAGGTTCATCAGCTTTCACCCGTTTCGAAGGTTGCAGATAAAAAATAGAAGATTAACAAACTTCAGCTTTTATTTCCTTCAAGCAGAAGATGAGAAAGTTTCATTCAGGTGAATCAGCGTACCTGTAACCTCAGGTCAGGGGGTCGTTAAGGTCAGACGCCCGACGCTCATCCTGCCTCTCCCACAGCTCGTTAAATAAAGTGAGGAGTTAAAAAGAGAATTTCTGTGGCAGCTCAGAGTTAACCCGAGTCTCATCAGGTGCCTTCCACCTGCGACGATTACACGTTACTTACTTTCCCTGCAGCTGACGCAGGTCGCGTGCTGCACATGCAGAGCAGCTGCAGGCTTCATGCCACGTTTGTGTGGACGACACAGAGGAGATGCTGCTGCCTCTCACATTTCCACTGATTCACAAACGAGGTTGAAAGTGCAGGAGGTTTGGTTTCCTGCACACGATGAGCTCGCGCTACGTGTTTGTGCCCCGACCTTGTCTTTCAGGAACAGCGTGTGTGTGTGTGTGTGTGTGTGTGTGTGTGTGTGTGTGTGTGTGTGTGTGTGTGTGTTTAAAAACAGAAAGATTGATTGTGTTTAGTGTTAAAACCACAGTATTGATCCGCACAGCGAACAACAAACAGGGCGAGTGATTGAAACACACACACACACACACACACACACACACACACACACACACACACACACACACAGATTGATTGATAGCAGAATCATCTTCATCCTCAGTCGAGGCTGTGGATGCTACAGCACAGATTGATGCTCACTGTCACACACACATGGACAGTGTGTGTGTGTCAGATAAGTCACCTGATCACAGTGAGGTGTGATGAGGAGAGGTAGGCGGAGGTGCGAGGTAAGAAACGGCGTTTAAAGGAAGTGCCGTGGTCACGAGGTTTAAGGAGCGACTTTGACGCCGGTTAACCAAAGTGGGCGGGGTTAAACTTTTGAACTGTTCCCAAATATTAGAAGCGAGTTATTGAAGCGACCTCCAGCGGGAGGAGTGATTCACCAGACTGAATCACTTCCTGTGTGGACATCCCCACCGTCCAATCAGCTGACAGTTGTAACCAAATGAATTCATAAAATACTAAAGAACAGCAACAGCGATAAAAAAACAAGCAGAAAACACCAAAGATAATAAAAACTCATCATTTAAATTCCTGAAAGAAGAAGAAATCCAGCAAAAACTAATCATAGGTCTTTGAAAATGATCAAACCAACACAAGGATAAATACAATTAACTGATAATAAAAAGCAAATTATTAAACGCCCAAACAGAAATCAGCAAAAGAAGCAGAAATGAAATAAAATAATCATTTAGGTGAGACTTCCTAAAGAGGAGCAGAGCACAGCTGGAGTTGTGACCCAGCAGGTCGCAGCATTAAGAAGTGAAAGCCTGATCCAGGTGATCAGGTCACCTGTCCATGCAAAGGTGGCCTGATCCAGGTGACCCGAGGGCTCAGGCGGGTTCATAGCTCATCAGAGACGTCTGAGGTCTGTACGCGCCTCCGCACGGAGCTGAGGCCCATTTTTTTCAGCTTCCTGTGAAAGTGTGTGATGCTGCTGCAGTTCACAGGTCAGACTCGGGCGAGACAATCGCACCAATGATCAGGCAACATCTGAACCTTCCCGGGGCAGGAAACACTCCTGCTTCACCAACACGTTTAAGTTTTGGCTGAGAGGCTGAAAAAAGTCCAAATCTGAGTCATGAGTCACGATCCTGGCAACACAACACAAACGAGGAAAAAGGCCGTGAACATCCAAACACAGAGGTCAGAGTTCAACAGCTTCAGAGCTCCAAGACAGCAGACAAACACAAACAGGCTCCTAGACGGGCTGCAGACACACAGAGTTAGAGACTATCAAAATAAAACAGGAAGTAACATCGACGAGACATGAGAGGATTCTGGGAATGAACTGAATAACCAGGGATATCACACATAAGTCTAAACACCGTCCATCACAGGTAAAGATCCAGGATAAAAATGCCAAAAGACAGAATACAAAACTCTGAGTATCAAAGAACTACAAACACAAAATGAACAGGCAGCAAACACGTCAGAGTAACCACACAGAGAGCAGAGGCCACGCTTTCATTTTCTCTTTCATTACTGCCGACGAGCATGGCGTCACACGGCGAGCCTCCCCGTGCTGTCAGCGGTTCGATCGGTCGAGTCGTTTGAGGTCAGGTCAGGCCATCCCAGTTCAGCGGGGCTGGATGCTGCATCAAAGAAACATCTCCATGTGAGGAGGTCATTTAGGTTTTTTCTCAAAATGTCACAAATAAACTTGATACGGCCTGTAGGGACAAGTCTGCAAGGAGGGTAAGCAGTCAGTGAAACATCAGGAATGAATGATTACCAGGCCAACAGAGAGAGAGACGGGTTCATGCTTCAAATACAGGTCAAAGACCAGAGAGCTCAGTGTGAGGCCGTCTGCCCCACAGCTCGCACCAAACAGGACGACGATCCCAGCACAGCAGCAAACAGCGGAGCTGCCGCAGTGGTCCAAGGTCCAGACTGTGTGTGTGTGCGTGCGCGTGTGTGTGTGTGTGTGTGTGTGAGAGATGATCTCTGGTCCTTTTAAATAGCCTCATTAAGCAGCAGGGTGGGTGGCAGAAGTGTGTGTGCGTGTTTGTCAGTGTAAGTGGCCTCCATTACCGCCCATCCCACAGGGTTATTTATGAAGATGTCAGGCTGATTTAATGCTGCATTTAACACACACACGCGCACAGTCACACACACACACAGAGTAAAGATTCAGCGTAATGAATCAAAGGAAGTCAGACAGAATAATAATTAGACACTGTTTGAGCTGAAGCTGACTCGTAGTCTGTGAGGAAGACTCTGATGAAGAGGAGGAAAAGATGGCCGAAGGATAAAGAAGTTTGTCCTGGTGGACTTTTGTCAAGGACCTGTTCAACGAGCTATTTAATAAAAAAAACGTGGTGGGACAGGAAACGGCAGAGTTTGCTGGTTAATTGAGATTAGACCTTCAAAATAAGAGCGAGGCATCTGATTGGTGAGCTGCTCTATTTTTGTTCCCAACCTTTCATTTTACTTCCTTCTGCTCCATCTTTTCTTTGTGTCTCTTCACATTTTCTTCCTCTTTGTGTTTCATTGAGCCGATATCGCGAAACCGCTCCGAGAAGCGCGCACAAGCCCCTCCCCCACTGTATGACTCCCGGCCAGCCCTCGTTATAAAACCAATTCTGCTCTTCATCGTCTGTGGGACTGCTGTCTAAATTAATGCTAAATTCTGCATGACAGAGGGGGAAGGGTGTGTGTGTGTGTGCGCGTGTGTGTGCGCGTGTGTGTTGTGTGTGTGTGTGTGTGTGTGTGTGTGTGTGTGTGTGTGTGTGTGTGCGCGCGTGTGTGTGTGTGTGTGTTGTGTGTGTGTGCGTGTGTGTGTGTGCGCGTGTGTGTGTGTGTGTGTCTTTGTCTTCTGTGAGCAGATGTAGCAGCAGACTTCAGGGTCTTTGCAGTCAAGGAGAAACATTTAACAGGCAGCGCAGCGTAACACACACACTCTCACACACACACACACATCACTCCACACACACTACACACACACACTACACACACACACACCTCACACCACACACACACACACACACACACACACACACACACACACACACACACACACATTTGAAGGACGGCAAACATTCCTGCTCATACGCCGTCCTGTAATCCATGTTTAATGGAGTCAGGGACTTCCCACCCCTCCCCCCTTGCCTCCCCGCCCTCCCCCGTCCTCTCCTCTTCTTCCACCCTCTCAGACAGCCATCGTCTGGAAATGATAAGACTGGGGGGATATTGAGGTCTCTGACCTGCTAAAGATAAAAGCAGGAAGTCCTCAAACCTCTCTGGCCGCAGATATTAAAATTAAATCACCTGCAGTAAATTAACTGAGTTCACTCTGAGCACGGTTAACTGAAATAAGGACGGGCAAGATTTTAGAGATGTGTCGTTGTAGATTCTGTTCGCAGGTCTGGTTCTTTATTAATAACAGAGCAGTGTTTATGAGGAAAGATGGAGGCGGCGAGGGACGTCTCGCCGTGTGTAAAAGCATGTTTGTTCCGCAGTATCAGAAAGTCATCATTGAGAAAACAGTTCAGTTTTATTTATGTAGCAGCAAATTAGCACAAACCAACGATCAGACCTCTGTGAGCCGCGCTCGGGGAGCAAGAACCCGGCTCGGCCTCTATTGTGCTTTCTGCCCCGAACGTGTCAGAGTGAGAAATGCAGCAGCATCACTGAGGCGTGGCAGAGAATCACCTGATCCAGCTCACCGACCAGCTTCATCGAGAGGGAAACGTCACACGGAGTGTAATTATCTCCTGAATTTAGCCATGTTTTATTAAATAAATCATTTTCATTAAACGTGGAAATATGATTATATTTTTTTCCTGGATATGAAACTGTACGGGCAGCACGGAGGTCCTGGGTCCACTCTGTGTGGAGTTTGCGTGGGTTCTCTCGGGTACTCCGGCTCCCGGAGACATGCAGTTAGTGGCCACAGGAGTGACAGACTGTCCAGGCTGTAGCCTGTTGTGAGATGATCAGGACCCACACAGCGTGCGATTG